GTGCGGGGGGGCGGGGCTTGATGTTGAAGGGTGGTGGGGGATTTTTAAAAAAATCCTAAATTAAACAGCCCAAACGCTTATAGATGAGCATACAAATGAATGAAGACAGAGTTATATGAGAACAAATATATATTTGTGCTTTTGTGATTTTAGTTCAATAATATTTTTTTTCTTTAATATTTTTACTTTAAGGGGACTTTACTAAATATTAACCTCTAAATTATGCACCATTTATCATCTGCAATATCAGCGTGTAACCACTATATGGCTGTATAGCCCTATATAAAAATACATATAAACCATTTGCTGCAGAGTGAGAACGTAAGACATAAAGTACATTACTTGTATAAGGTTATTCATTGATATATTTTCAGACATTATTAAAGACTACTTTTAGTAAAAGTTGAAATTTAAATGTTGATTTGAAGTGTCAGTTATTATTGTAGTCAAATCTGGACACAGAGAGAGCATTTTGTTAGGCTACTCATACAGCGTGATCAGTCACACGAATAAATAACTAAGTCGTCAGAATAAATATTAGCTCAGTGTGACCAGGGCAATATTTTAAAATATAGAATTGAGTGTTTACCTACCATGAAGAGAGACATTCTGTGGTCGAGTTGTGTGTCCATATTTGAAAAACAATCTGCATAGCAATCAGCAACTGGCAAATTCAGATTCAAGTAGCTTTACTGGCATGGTAAAAAAGCTTTACAAAGCTTTGACAGCGCTTCGAACCAACGGTGTGTAGCATTATCAGCTCATGTGTATGCTGATTTGAATGTTGAACATTGATTGGTTGTTGGCTGTGTGTGTGTGGGTGGAGGCAGTTGTTCAGAGTAAATGATACAAACTAGATGCATATGTGTGAGCTCTGAGTCTTTTCTTGGTATGACACTGCTTAGAGTGACTACACAATAATAATACATGGTGTTGAGCATGATCAAATTTAGAGGCTACAATAGGCAGCGAATCAGGCAGTGATTGACAGCGCTCTGATGCAGTGGCCAAAAGCTCTCTGATCAAAAATTCACAGACCACATTTGACAGCATACAAATAATAATACATGGTGTTGAGCATGATCAAATTTAGAGGCTACAATAGGCAGCGAATCAGGCAGTGATTGACAGCGCTCTGATGCTCTGATGCATCTTAAATTCCAGTGCAGTGAAACAACTGTCAGCAGGGGGTGCTGCAGCACCCTTATATCCCGCGGCTATATATCTCTTACTTTTAATTTGCTAAGAAATTAAATACACTGCTGGACAATTACCAATAATTTGTATTATTAATTAAATTTGTAATCTTTTTTGGCAGTTTTATGGTTTGTTTATATATACTACACTTTTTTCCATTTTTATCACAGAATAAGGCCGAAAATATATATTATAGTTTCTATAGGCCACTGTTATAAAGGCTTTGTCATTTAACAATGCATTATTCAGATACTTTATTTATTACCTGGAGATGACTTGGAAAAACACACACTAACCATATAGCCTATTGTAGCAATCGTGCATGTAATGTCTTTACGTGTTCTATTCAGCTTAGCTACAAGGATAGCTGGATGCATTCGTCCATAATAGGGATTTCCTGGCACGTCATAAGTTATTACTTCTATGAGTCCTTTTTGGACTTTCTGAGCGAGAGCGCCCTCCGGCTTTGAGTATAAATGAAACATACAATGCACGAGAGTGTTTAGCGCTCCGTAATGTTCACATCTCCTCATTTTGGATACAAATAAAACGCCAGGTCATGCAAAGACTATCTTGTCTCTTGCGTTTAAATATAGATTTTTTCACACTGGCCCCTGAAAACATCTAGGCTACTTGAACACACTTGCCCAAAAAAAAGTGCGGTGAACGAATTTATGTCTTGTTTTGTGAGAAATCTGCTAATTCTGTCATTACTCTTGTAGTATAATGTTTATTACAAGATTCTTTAGTGATGATTGACAGTGATTTTTTATTGCAGTGTGTGTGGGAGTTTGTGTATTTGTGTGTATGTGTGAGCGTGTGTTTGTGAGTGAGAGTGTGTATGTGTGTGTCCCACAACATAGGGTTTACCTAGACCACACACAGGATAGTAAAACCTGAAATTTTTCACCATTTTTTGGTCCCCATGAGGAAAACTGCGTATGAAGCATACAAAATGATGTTTTCGGATAATGTACAAATGCAAAAAGTTTTCTGTGAAGTTTGTGTTTAGGGGTAGGATCGAATATACAGTTTGTACAGTATAAACCCAACATGTTTGTTTGTTTGTTTGATTTGTGTTTGTGCTCTTTTTCAGTGAGTGATCTGAGGATTGTGCTGATAGGAAAGAATGGATCAGAAAACAACAGTGTAGGAAACATTATACTGGGTACAGAAGCGTTTCAGAATGAAGCTCCATCTTATTCTCAGCAGCACAGTGAGACAATCAGTGGAGAGGTGGAGAAGACACACATCACAGTCATCAAAACTTACCTGCTCCATCCAAATTTCCCACAGCATCAGATCATACAGGCTGCGAGAGAGTGTGTGTCTCTGTCTGCTCCAGGACCTCATGTGATCGTACTCGTACTGCAGTATAATGACTTCAGTGAGGAGGACAGACGCAGAGTAAAATATGTGCTGAACCTATTCAGTAAGCAGGCCATTAAACACACTATAGTGGTGACTACTGATGAAGACACACTTACATCCAAATGGACTTCTAAGATATGGAATAATACAGTTTCTAATTTAATAAAGGAGTGTGGAGGACACCTTAAGTTTGATACAAGAAACCTAGGATGGCGCTCTGAGTTGATCAGAAGGACAGAAGAAATACTCAAGAAAGAACATGAAGAATTTCTCATCTGTAACATGTATGAGGATGGAGGTGATGGATCATCAGTGGATGAAGATCTGAGCAGATCTGGAGCTTCAGTCAGAGATGACGACAAAGAGGAAGAGAATTCTGTTGAGAGCACAAAAACAGGACGGGATGGAGGAGGTTTGTCAGTCTTTTTTCTGGATAATATCTCTAAGAATATGATCATGAAATAGTTTGTTGCCCTTTAATACTTACAGTGCAGTAGAGACAGGAAATGACATGGAGAAAAATGAGGAGCACTACTGTGTGACTATTATTTATATTAATCTGTTTTAGTTCAAAAGCTTCTAAAATGTTTGTAACTTTTTTTTTTTGAAGAGGGCATGCCCAAATATACACAAAAGCCTATAAACCCTAAATAAAAACTCAAAACTTCACAAATTTAGAAGAGCTCATAATCCATACGATTCTAAACAAGCTTGCAAACTTTTATGAAGATCGGACCATAGGTGGCAGTATAACTTATAAAAGGGTGAAAAATGTTATATTTCTATGGCAAATTACATGTGATTGTTGATAATGGTCGTCTTTATGTATTATTTATGTATTGAGTGTACTTGTTTTCAGTCATTACTGGAAAAGCAAAGCTGAACATCGTGCTGTGTGGAAATCATCCAACACTCAAGGATTCAGTGTCTAAAATATTTCGAGGGACAATGAATAAACAAATTAATATACAAATAAATAAACTTTTACCTCAGAAAGAGAGGAGCAATGTGAGTGTGAAGAAAAGTGACAAGATTAATGGACGGCAGATCAGTGTAATAAAGCTTCCAGCTCTCACTCGTCTCTCAGAGGAGGACGTGATGCGGGAGACTCACCGCTGTGTGTCTCTCTGTGATCCTGGAGTTCATCTTTTCATCCTCGTTACTCCTGTCACTCCACTCACTAATGAAGACAGAGCAGAAATGGAGAAGATTAAAGGAATATTTAACTCTAATGAGCACTTCATGGTGCTTTTCTTTACTGAACTCACGGTTGACAAAAGTGTGACTGATTTTGTAGCGTCCACAGAATCTCAGAGTGTTGTGAGTCTCTATGGGAGTTGGCACAGTTTGATGGGGTTGAAGGACCAGAGAAACTCTCAACAGATCTCAGCCCTGTTAGACTGTATAGAGAGCATGAAGACTGAACCCTATTCTCTTCAGACGTATATAAGAGCTCCAGAGAGGAGAGTCAGACATGAACTAGAGGAGAAACTGAGTGTGAGAGATAATGAAATCAAAGAGTTACAGAAGAAGATCAAGACACTGGGTGAGTGCATTCATTTTTCTGGATAAAGCATCTTTGTGAGAATACATTTATAAATTATTTCAGTTTATTTACAGTACTGTGAGTAACATTGGTTTTGCATCATTTCTCAGAACTGAGACATGCTGCCTTTTGTTTGAATATGCTCTGTCAGTTTGTTTGTTCAATTGCATTACTATTTTCTTTCGCTTCAGCTATAATAAAGAGACAATTCATTTCCATGCCTTATTAGCCTGAAGCGTCTAAACCTTCTCCATCGTCCGTTTTAAGTGTTGGCTCTGAAACTGAAACCAGGGACGCAACTCTGGTCTGACAGGTGGGGGTGGGGCATAAGACCTTCGTTCATCTTCGGAACACAAATGAAGATAGTTTTGATGAAATCCGAGAGTTTTCTGACCCTGCATAGACAGCAAAGGAAATACCACGTTCAAGGCCCAGAAAGGTAGTAAAGACATCGTTAAAAGAGTCCATGTGACATCAGTGGCTCAACCGTTATTTTATGAAGCTACAAGAACACTTTTTGTGCACAAAGAAAACAAAAACAAAAACAAAAATAACGACTTTATTCAACAATTCTTCTCCCCCGAGTTACCATCTGCCGCATTATCAAGAATACCATGAAACATATCTTAATTTGTGTTCCGAAGATGAATGAAGGTCTTACGGGTTTGGAACGTCATGAAGGTGAGTAATTAATGACAGAATTTTCATTTTTGGGTGAACTATCCCTTTAATCATTGTCTGCGTTGTATAGTATGTAAGTGAATGAGGGGGCAAAGGCATCAAGATAGGGGTGTGCTTGTTTTGGTGATTTCAGATATCAACAGCGTTTTCCAGAAATCGCTTACTGCACCTTTAATAAATACCCTTTTTATTCATAAGCTACCTATTTCAAAGAGAAAAAAATGGACTCATAATACCATCTTTACAAATTGAGTGAGTCAATGATACAGTGACACTTTCATAAAGAGAGTCACTTCATTTCTGAATGAATCAGTTGTTTGAATGAATCAGCTGAATGAATGACACTCATTAAGACTGACTTAATTTCAATGAAATCATTTCATATTTCAATATTCATTTTTGAAACCTGTTAATACCCATTTAAATACCATTATTTTTAAGCATTGTTAATGCAATTGTAATTGCAGTGTAAATGCATTCATTCCACCTTTGAGCTGCATTAAACAGTCCATGTAAATACAGTATGTCTAAATGCCACTTCAGATGCAGCTTCTGAAAAAATGTTTATGGCCATATTGTAGATTTAAAAGTTCTCATGTAATGAACTCAAGGGATGTGCCCGAAAAGTGAATCCATATTCGGATTCATATTATTAGTAGTTTTATTTGCTTTACTCTACTAAGGAGTGTTCTTTCTTTATTGAATGTCTAAGTAATGTGCTTAAGTTTGTCATGAGATAGATGAGACATAACAGGAAATCTAAGTGCAAGACAAGTGTGAGACGAGAAAATGTTATGTCAGCTTTTAGACGTACTGGCTTCTTACAAACGCATCTGGAGGACATAGTTAGGCACCTTAAATGGACATACATGTTGAATATGCATTATGATTGGATGAGATCAAAGCATGCGGATTTGATGAAGGTATAAATGTTGAGTTGGGGTGCCTCTTTGTCACACTCTGCAGCCTATCTGTATGACTGTAGACTTTTCTTGCAAGAAAATAAATCTTCAAAAGACTTTTGTCTCATATGATTTTTCAGCCATTTTGAATAAAATCAACTTAAAATGTCTATAATTACTCAAAGGTCTTAAAGCACTCGAATCCCGGTAATTGCTGCTTGCAGCTATATTATATTTTTATCTCTTTCTCTTGAGTGTTTCCACGAGTATGTGTTCAGCAAAGACGCAAATGGTTTTTAGTGGAAAACTAGTAAAATACAGTGCAATTGTGATTACAGTAATTCAAAAACATTATGTGAATGCAGCATTAATCTAATTTCAAATCACATTGTTAAACTAGTTTATTCCTTTGACACAGATCCAGAGGGTGTGAAGCTGAATCTGGTTGTGTGTGGGAGTAACACAGAATTAAAATCCTTCATATCAAACCTGATCCTGAAGCAGAGCGAGAGAAGATCCGAGCTGAGCTCCGAGTGTGTGAGGAGAGACGTGGTGCTTGATGGACGTCTGATCAGTCTGCTGGAGCTTCCAGCTCTGTTCAACACTCAGCTCTCAGAGGAGGACGTGATGCGTCAGACTCACCGCTGTGTGTCTCTCTGTCATCCTGGAGTTCATGTGTTCATCCTCATCATTCCTGATGCTCCACTTAATAATGAAGACAAAGCAGAAATGGAGGAGATCCAGAGGATCTTCAGCTCAAGAATCAACAAACACATCATGGTCGTCAGAATCCAAGACAAGAACATAATTAGCCGGATTAATATAATTCCTTCTTTAGCTACTGAGACATGTATTCATGTATTTGGAGGTAGTCAGTCTGTTCTGGAGAACAGCTCACAGTTTCCAGCTCTACTGCACAATGTGGAGAACATGGTAAAACTGAACGATGGAAGTTTCTACACAACCTTCATGTGCCTTCAGGCTCGAGTAGAACTGGAGATAAACAAACACAGAGCTGAAATAGAGAAACTGAGAAGATCTATGATGAAAAGAGCAGGTTTGTGTTCAGAAGAGTCCTATGTATAAACTGTCATTATAGCAATTTCTGTCAAGGATCTTCTCTGACAGTCTTGTCTGTCCTGTCTTTCTTCAGTGTTTCCTTGTTTGTGTTGTGTTTGAGCACATGGCTCTGTCTTTGTTTGTGTTAGCCATGTGCTCCTCTCCTCCTGCCACCCTGTTACTCGTTACCACGCCCCCTCTTGTTTAGTCCGCGTTTGTCTGAGTGTTAGCACCTGTCTCTTATGTGGTTTGCTGCCTTCATATTGTGCTCTCTGTCCCTCATGTTTTGCCAGTTTGTTAACCTTTATCCTTGTGTGTGGCTCCTGTGTAGTAACCTTATACAGAGTTCTATCTAGTGCTTCTCTTGTCACTGCTTATCTGTTCTTTATTAGAAATTACTTGTTCTTATTTGTTAATCCTAGTCTTGTCTTGTTTAGCTATCTGTTCTAGAGTGTCTAAGCTATTTCGTTTTTTTTTTCCCCATTGTATTTTCAGTTAACTTATTAAGTTCTTGGTTTTCATTTGTGTTTAGTTTTTCCTTTTCTTATTTTAGTAATTTTCCTTAGCATTTACTTTCTCTTGTTCTTCTAGTTTAGTCCTAGAATTAGTCCTTTTCTTTTTATTAGTCAACTAGCTTCTGTTCTCTATTTGTTAGCTTTTACTTTATTCATTATTTCTCTAGGAATAGTTTTGCTTTATATTAGTTCTGCCATCTGTTTTGTCATGTTTTTGCTGTGTCTCTTGTCTTGTCCTGTCCTGCAGGCTGAGCTTCCCTGGATGCTTACAGTAGCTGGACCTGTGCAGTGCCTGTGTGACCACGTGTGTGCAGGCTCTTATGCTTTGTGTTCCTGTCAGGCCATCGCTGCTATCCTCTAGTCTCGCTCTGCCCTGTCCTTACTGCTCTTTGGCCAACTGTCTATCTCGGGCTGGGTTCTGCGGCCATTACCTCAGTCTGCCAGTCTTCGCGCATCACCGCGGTCTGCCAGTCTTCGCGCATCACCTTGGTCTTCCAGTCTTCGCGCATCACCGCGGTCTG